TTGTCTGGTCCTCCTCGATCGTCGCGTGGTCCGTCGAGCTTTATTTGGAATCTACCCCAGGCAACCCGCCACCCAAAAACGAAGAAGAAGGCTTCAAAGTTTTTTTGTTGGTGTTGCTTGTGGTTGGATCCAAATCTATCTCCTCGCTCCTCGCTACGATCGACGACGACAAGACTTTGAAGCCCTCTTTTTCGTGTTTGGGTGGCGGGTTAGCTTGTCTATTTCGTTGCAAATGATCGATGGATCCATTGGTTTTCGATTCCAAAGTGTGGTGTTTGATTGACCGGACCGACACCACGATTGAGTTGAACGAACCCCAAGGGAAAAGAACTGGAGTTTTGGTGAGCAAAGATCACGACCAGACAGGCGGGCATTTTGTCCTGGGGACGTACATCAAGCGCATTGATTCTCCTGCGCAGGATCTTACGATGCCACCTAACGATCTGACACTGATGAGTAGTGAAACCGATCCATCCATCCATCGGATTAACAAAATCAAACTCGCCCAAGTCGAGATCACCACCCAACAACACCGATCACACGCACCCAAAAGCCATGATCATCACGATCAATCTCGCTTATTTCTCTCAAGAACAATGTACACCGGCCTATCCCCCAATATCAAAACGAAACCCGCTCGCGCTGTCTCTAGCTACTGTATGTGATGGATGACGAATGGATCCACTCGATCTGTGAGTAGTTTTAGTGCGAAACTCTCCACGCTATTGATCCCGATGATCACGATCACCGCTGCTGTTACTTTGTTGGCAATCACTGTACACAGCACTCTCCCGCGGAGACGAGCACAAATCCGCCCCCACGATCCTAGCCAGCTCCCCGCTACTACCCGCCGCCGCCACCAGCACGTCGTACCGCGCGGTACCGCCGAGCTCGGGCACCGTACCGCCCGTCACCACCCGGACGACGCCGGCGTCGCCGCCAACACCGCCGCCGGCATCCACGAAGACCATCTGCTCCACCACCTTGCGCCCCAAAACGTTGACATTCCTCCTCACCACGTAGTTGAGCACCGCCTGGTCGCCAAACGCGCGGCGGCTGCGCCGCATCATGGCGGCGCGAGCCACCTCCGTGGCCACCGCCTCCGCCAGCGCGCGGACCGCCCGCGTCCCGCCCGCCACCACCGCGCTGCTCACCACCGCCCACTCCGCCTTGTCCTCGCGCTCTATCGCCCCCCACACCTGGCGCCCGTACACCTCCTCGATCAGCCCGACCCGCCGCCGCCGCCGCCGGAGCCGGGGTCCGTACGCCCTCTTCCGCTTATCAAGCTGTGGCGGCGCCGCTTCCTCCTCCTCCTCCTCGCCGCTACCGCTGGAGAGAATCTCTCTCGCCGCCGAAGAGCTCCTTCCGGGATTAGCGGTGGCCTCCTCCAGCCACGTCCGATCCTCGGTGACGAGCACTAGCGCGCGGCTGTCCTTGCGGCGCCGTGCGATGGCCAGCAGCGAATCGCCCAGCAAGAACACTCCTTTGGCCTGCGCGATCATCACCTGGCGGTAGCGCTGGTGCTGCCGCGCCATCCCCAGGAGCATCTGGTAGCACAGCCATCGCCGGAGCTGGATGGGCGGGCGATCGATGAAGCCCGAGAGCGTGTCCAGCGGCTCCAGCTCCGCGACGTCGAAGCCCATGATCGATCCCAGCGGCGGGATCCAGTTGCCGGCGCGCCGCTGGATCCATTCCTCGATCTCTTGCTCGCTCAATCCGGGAGTGGAGGAATTCTTGAGCGCTCTGGCCAGTGCCCACTCGGCACGAGCTCGCCCCTCCTCCTCGGCCCTCGCGAAGGCTTCCAGATTCAATGGGCTGAGGCTGGAATTGGAGAGGAGAAGAGATCCTCTCCGGCAGCTCGGACCCAGCGCCATGGATCCATTCGCGATTCTAGAGCTAGTGCTAGCGTTAGAGATCGAGCAGCCACTCTGGAGCAAGAGATTGTTGAAGTTCTCGATCTCCTCTTCCACCACCGCGGCATAGCCGGGAGCTCGCGGATCGCCAGGGAAGAGGAGCACCACGTCGGCCCTGGCGCTCAATCCACTCCGGAGGAGGTTGCGTAGGAAGAGACGAAGTTCTTGGCTGGGGAGATCCTCCTCGACGTGGGCGATGACGATTTCGCTCATCGATCTGGTGCCCGGCCGGAAGATCGTTCCCATTCCCTGCATCGCCGCTGCCCTGGATTGCCGCCGCGAGGAGGAAGAAGAAGAAGAAGAAGAAGAGAATGGCGATGGCGAGGAAGAGGGGTGATTGAAATTCTTGATTGCGAAGGAAGAATCGAGAGCGCAGACGAGGAAGAAGACGAGGGCGGTGAAGAGGAGCGTGGCGAAGCACAGCGAGATCCCTGTTTGGATTCGCCGATGGAAAGAAGAGCTGGGCTTGCGATTGGCGATGATCTTGGAGGAGGAATCCGGGGCGAGTGTGGAAGAATTGCTGATCGCGGGCTCCCACCACACCCACAAGCTGCCGATGGAAGAGGATTTCTTGGAGAATTTGAGTGCCACACCCATGAGCTCCTCCGTGAAGAGGATTGCCCTCATTCCCCTGTTTTCCTATGTTCTTTCTTCTTGGATCCAAGATTGGCCCCAAAACGCTTCCTTCCACTTCGCGAGATTTGCTCAATCCCGGGAGATCCACTGCTATCGCGCGCCGCGATCACCCGAAAAGCAATGTGGGTAGTGGAGGAGCGATAGAAGATCCATCGCCCATCGCCGTCGGGTACACACAAACAGAGTGGCGTCGCCCGATCGATCGCTGCGTGCGCGGGGAATCGAAAATCTCGCAATCAATCGAAGGAGTCGATCGCTATCGAGCAGCGGCAAATCGTCATGGAGGAGAATCCCTCTTCTTGTGGCCAAAGTGGCGATGAGGTCGACCGCCCCTCGCCGTCGCCATAGCCAGGGCTGTTCTAGCGAAGAGCGTACTATACTTTCTCAACAAACAACCAGGCCCCGCGCGGTGCGACGTGGTATGCCATGTGCCCGCTCCAGCGCCACCGCGAGCGGCGGCCGCGGTGGACGCGCGGTGGCCGTCGGCAGAAAATTCGTGCACGTGGCGGTGCCACACACGGCACGAATATTCTTTACGAGCCCGCGAGGATCTTTGGCGTGAGATTCTGTTGATAGGCCGTTATTGGATTCCCGTGAAAAGGATTAACAAAATCTAGCGATATAAAACATCATCAAAGAAAAAGCTTTTGATAGAACTCTGAGGCAAACTGCGATTTAAATTATCAGTGTTATTGGAATCATAGGTAGAAACTTGGCGATGGATGGAGTGAGCTCGACTCCATCCACTGGAAAAAACCACTCCTCCAAAGTGAGCGAAAAGCTGCGACAGTGACACCAACCTTTGTGTTGTTCTTGCGAGACACATCGTGAAGTTGCGCTTCGAGCAAAAAGTAATATGTTGATAGATGGATGATCTTCGCTGCTCGATCGTGCGCGTGCTCCGCCCGCTCGCTGCCTGGATCGCCCATCACTCAACATCATGTGCGCAATGCGTAGAAAGAAAAATATAAAGAGTACCTTAAGCCAGTGCTGATCCACGTACTTGTGACTCCGATGTCCACCATTCACGAGCTTCGGCAACAGATAACAAAAAAGATTTAAATGCTTGCTTGTGTTTGATGCGCTCAGGCTCAGATCACTCGGATTTCCTGCGCGAAGATCTCGTGCATGAGAATTATAAATACCAGAGCGTACTGGCACTTACCTTTCCTGAAACTTCAGACAGCTTGAGGACGCTGTGGAAGCAGCAGGTTGTAAAACTTGTTGCGCAAGAAAAACTCGCGGCCGGTGTCGCTCACGGCCTTCTTCCAGCCACACCAGCCTCCATTCCGGATGGTCTTGAGGTCCTCTCCGCCCGTGTAGTGAGGATCCAGAATAAGAAAAGCGCTCTCGCCAGTAAGTTCGTTGTAATCCACGCCAAGTAATGTATATGCCAGGACTCCACCCCCTGTGTTTTAACTTCCTTGGTTATAGAGAGAAAAGATCATATTCTATGCTTGAAGCGTACCGATCATAACTGGAGTGCCTTGCGTGTCGAAATGTGCCGCAAGCTCCCGGCATTTTTCCGGTAAATCTGCTCCAGAACGGACGCTTAGTATCTTCGAAGTCACCTGCACAGAAACAAACAAGTCAATGAGAGATTAAGAAAACAACAAAAAAGGAGCCATGCTTTGGAGTAGTGAACACGTACCCCGAGAAGTTTGTCTAGTACAAAGCTTAACTCGATCGCTCCAATCCATTCTTGAGATCCCACAAAAGAAGGCTCCTTGTCTCCTATTTCTACAAGTGTTGCCTGGATCTCTCTGCAAAGTAAAAAGCAAAGAAAGCATTAGTTGCTGACCATTGATGATTACACCTGTGAGAAGGTTCTTTCATAGAAGTGTAATGCTGCAGCCTAAACCACGACATTATAGTCTGCAAGGATCGATATGCGCAGCCCCAGCCCTGGAAAGCAAGCAATCCAAAGTCACGGGAGTTGCAAAAAAAATAAGCAGATTTTTTTTTTTTACTTTGTCGTCCATTCGATCCTGAAGGTAGTGATAGTACTCGTACGAGCCGTCAATAACACTCACTTCTCCACCAGAAACTATGAATAACAGATGTGAGCTAACAGAGAACATAATACAAATTAAGAACTCACTCCCGCAACGAGGAAGACCGAGATGAACATCCAAAAGTCGCTTTCCTGGAAAAATTTAATCCAAGTGCTTACAAACGCGGATTTGAACACAAGTAAAGCCAGACCATCAATCCTGTTGGAGATGAACTGTGGCCCTCTGATAGTTAATGCATTGGCAACGCGAAAAAGTGGACGATCTAGTGGCAAGCCGAGCCGAGAATGCAATGCTTTCCGGAGGTCAACTACAATAACAACACACACTTTGACAGTGAGTCGATTTGAAGCAAGTAATAAAAGCTCACCAGAGTCACGTTCAAGCTGGTTCTTATCGAAGATGGCTGTTACAGGATGCACGCTAGCGGGAACTTTGAAATGATATGGGCGCAACTACATAGTCCGTGTAAGTAAGCATGGCTCTCTACTCTAGTCACGAGTCATACCTGAAGACTGGTATTCCTTGCCGACAAAGCTTTACCAATGGATTCGAGTTGAATCGTCAGAGCACGAGTGATTGTGTTCATCGCTTTGTGCAAGGCGGAGTTCCTGGAAACTAAGCACAGCACGTCCAGGGAAACCGTGGCTGTGTGTAGCAAGGTTCCCTCTGCAGCTATGTAAGAAAAATGAGAACCGGATAAACAAACCGGCACCACTTACAAGGAGTGTAATGACCAACGGGGGCAATCACTTGATCAGTCTGCTTGCTTTGCTGCGTCAAAAGCTTGACAGCCAGAGGATGTGGTATCTGGAAAGAAACCTCATCAGAGTTCTTACAAAATGGTGTTTGAAAGCTTACCGAAGAGTCGAAAAGCGCTGAATCTGGGAACACAGATTGTAGCTCTTCGTTAGCTTGAGAGCGAACGAGAAATCTTCTCGACGATCCTTCCATAATACATACAGTGGTTGAGCTCGTGAAACTCTCGGCAAGGTCTCTAATTTTCCCATCCAGCTGCTTCTTAAGATCTAATGTCACACAGTTAGAAAAGTAGAAGAGAAAAAAAGTCTAGACGAACTACCTGAGGAAGTTCCAGAAGATGTGTAGATCGAAAGGCCAAGCTCGACTTGACAATGAAGAAGCGCTGTGGATTCCCAAAACTCTTTCGAGGAAAAGGAAGATTGCTCGATCGGTTGTAGAGCCTGAGAGAAGAACGTAATGCCATCGCTAGAGATGGATCGAGTAGCAGCAACAATATCGTTCGATGAGACCAGATTTAACGCCTCCCGGATTTTCGTGGCCACAGCACACGCCTTTGCAGCATCCGATCCAACCAGCAATGCTCCAATCACTTCCAGCCCTCCGGGAAGAAGGATCCGCAATTCACCTGGCCAAATTCTCGGATCATCCACCCCGAAATCTCTGTGCCTGGAACCCTACCTTCCTCAGCGGCGTAATCTGGATCGCCATCCTTGTAGCGCAGGCAGCGGATCGAGGAAACGATCGTCCAGGGCATCCACGGGACTCCAATCAGCCACGCCACGCCGGCATTCTCTTGGCTCTGCTTGGCGAGATCGCATAGCACCCTGACCGCGGGCGCCATAGCCACTGCAATTCTAGGGCTCTTCCAGAGTTGCTGGGCTTTAAGTTGACTTGCTGACTAGAAAGTTTGACTATCGTTGACGGACAAGAACTTTGCCTAATTCTTGGGAGTTTTCGCTAATCCTCCTAGCAATATAGCTGAAAGAACACTACTTTCGCGCAACAACTATCTACAAAACGTTCATACTTCTCATCGCTTGGATCTCTTGCCTCTCCCTCCACAGCCCGAGACTTCCATAGATGTTCGCCATAAGAGCGTAGGCCGAGTCTAATCTCCTGTCCAGAGCAATCAAACGCTGAAACGCCATTCTCCCCACCATCGAGTTCTTCCATTTGTGACACCCTGCGAGCACGGTCGTCCAAGTTACCAGTGTCGGCTCAAAGGGCATCCTAGCCACCATAGCCACCGCTTCCTCGAGCCTGTTACTTCTGCTGAGAAGATCCACCACGCAGTGGTAGTGATGGATCCCGGGAGCCAGCCCAAACTTTGAGCTCATCTCTTCGAAGTAACGCTTGCCAAGATCGACCAAGCCGGCGTGGCTGCAAGCCGAGAGAAGCGAGGAGAAGATCATCACGTCTGGGCGAAGGCCTTTGTCTAGCAGCGCCTGGAAGAGCTCCAGAACTCGTGGAGTGTCTCCCTGCCTGCTATATCCTGCGACCAAGGCCGTCCAGGCCACCATATCCTCCTGCGAGCTTAGCTGGAATGCCTCGAGAGCTTCATCCATGCTTCCACACCTTCCATAGAAATCGACCAGCGTCGCGGCGATGGAGGCCTCTCTTTCCAGTCCAGCGTCCCGGATTTGCTCGTGGATCTCTCGGCCGGTTTCCAGCGCCGCCAAGTTCCCGCACGCCTTGAGAGCCGCCACGAAAGTCCAGGCATCAAGAGGACACCGCTTCTCTTCCACCATGCGCCGGAAGAGCTCCAGAGCGAGCTCGTCTTGGCTGTTGTCGACGCAGCCAAAGATCATGGACGTCCACGAGATGACGTTGCGATCTTGCATGGAGTCGAAAACTCTTTGCGCGTCGGCGATGCTTCCACACTTCGCGTACATGTCAACGAGGGCGCTGGCAACGAAAACGCTGGAGTCACACTTGTTCTCGCAAGCCAAAGAATGGAGAGCCATACCTTTCTCCAAAGAAGCAAGCTTGACAAGCCGGGAGTCGATCCCCTTGGCATCCTCTTTCACTGCGCAGCAGCCGCAAGCCTTGATCGCAGCTAGAAAAGTTCTCGGATTGGGAGCTACTCGTCCCTCGCTGTTCATGGAAACCAGGAGCTGCAGGGCTAGCTCCGGCTCGCCATTGTCCACCGCTCCCACCATCAATGCGTTCCAAGAAACTTCGTCACGCCGGGGCATCGCGTGGAAAACTTTGGTGGCATCCACCAAGCTCCCACACTTGGCATACGCGTGGATCAAAGCGTTGGCAACGAAGATATCTCTCTCGAATCCACTGCTCCAAGCTTGCCTGTGAATTCTCATCCCTTTTTCCAGCGACTCCACCTTGATTCTTCGATCCATTCCTTCCACTTCCATCCCTGATTCCCTCTCTGAGAGAGACGAGCACGCCTTGATCGCTGCCACAAACGTGGAGGAATCCGGCGAGCAATGCCCCTCGTCTTGCATCGCCAGGAAGAGCTTCAACGCAACCTCCCCCCCGCCATTCTCCGCATAGCCCAGCACCAGAGAATTCCAGGATACCCTGTCCAGAAATTCCATAGCATCGAAGACCATGCGCGATCTAGCGACGCTGCCACACCTGGAGTACATGCTCACCAGGCTAGATCCCACGAACAGGTCGGAATCCAGGCCGCATTCCACCGCCGCCGCGTGGATCCTCTTTCCCCGCGCTAGATCCTTGCGCTTGGCGCACTCCTTCAATGCCGCGAGAATCTCCGCCCTGTCGCCGCGCCCATCGCGCGCCTGGACCGGCAGCGCATTGCTAGCGCGAGCGATCATAAAGCCCTAAGTCCACAGAGAATATTCGTAACATACTAACCAGTGTTACTGCTAAGCCAAGACAATTATATCAAACGTAGTTAATGAATGTGTTGATGCATATTACAGAGTATTAAGTAAGTATAATCAAGTAAAGCACAATGAAATTTAAGCCTGCTTAATCATTTCCAATCCCATGTACCTGCAAAGGCGACTCATTAGTTCAAATCAAACAACGAAGAATAAAAATGAGAAATAAAATTGTACCTTGCTAACATCATGAAAGTCGACTGAGGATTCGTCCCTGGAGAGAAATCAAACATGCTGCCATCAAGCACTCGGAGTTTTTCAACCCCAAGAACTCTGTAAGTAGGATCCACAACCTTTCCCACTCTACAGCTACCATGGTAATGATACATGGTTGCCACACTTAGTTGACAGTATAGTGCAAGAGTTGTGTTGATGGTTGGCTTCAGTAAAGGATTCCTTCGATTTGGAGCAGCCACAGTGCCACCAGAAGGCATGGGCTGAAGACCAGTAATGAAATGGCTGAAGCTGGAAGTTAATAAAACTTCTTCAAGTGTGTTGGCTCCACTCACGCATGTCTGCATATCAACAGGGTCTTTCAAGTAGTTAAAGGTGACTTGAGGATTATCATCAGCATTCAGAGTTAAAAGTTGGATCTCGCCGCTTGAGCGAGGGTTAGCAACCTTCTGCGTGACCACAACGGTTGGACTGTGCTGTGTACCACTTAACGCTTCGAAATACGTTCCAGAAGGATCGATTCCCACACTCTGGATAAGAGAAACTTCAACTGGGGATGGTGAGAGGATGTAGACTCTGGTGGATGGATTGTCAACAATGTTTTTTCCAACCTCGGGTGAATCCACGACCACTTCGATGTTCTTCGCTTGAAGGTGGTCTCTGGGACCAATTCCACTTAGCATCAGCAGCTGAGGAGTGCCTATTGCACCTGCTGTGAGTATCACTTCACTTTTGGATGAATTCCGGAGAAGAATAGCAAACGTTTTTCCGGATAAACGGGCCATGACTTGAACACCTACAGCTCTTGGAGTACCAGAGCCTATTTAGAAGAAACGAAAACACATGGGTTTCAAGCAACTTATAAAACTTGAATAATTACCTGAGAAGATGATCTTCTGAACAAGAGCGTTTATCACGACTTGGACGTTGGTCAGATTCGCATAGAGAGGCAGCAAGTTTGATGCAGGCCTCCGAGTTCCATTCTCATCAAAGAGAGTGCCTCCAACCTTCGTTCCTGGAAGATGATCGTAAGTTTCACCATTATCGGGCGTGACACCAGCTTGAAGCAGCGCATTCTTGTAAGCGGTCTGAAAGGGTCCAGTCCGAGGCAGCGACGCTATCCCGTTCTCAAGCCACTCATAAGATGCATTCACTTGAGCGTAGTCATCCAAGCCCACGATCCGGTCGATCTCGGACTTTGGTGCACGAGTCATGAAGCCACCGTTTATAGAGCTTCCTCCCCCAAGGATTCTTGCTCTTGCATTTGGTACCAGATCTGTGGTAAAAAATCCTTGAGAATGAGCTTGATCCAGAATGCTCAATGCAGAATTCTCTTCTCTCATGAACACGGGATTTCCATACGGGGATTCGCCTCTCTCCAGGAGCAGGACTTTGGACTTTTGCGACAGAGTTGCCGCTAGTGCACATCCACAAACACCTCCTCCAACAATGATGTACTCATAGCTTCCTGGTACGAATGTGGCATTTGCTGCTTCTTCAAAAAATGAAAAGTTCAGAGTTAGATTCACAGGAACTGAAAGTAGAGCTAGCACAACTAATGGGAAGAAGTGGCTACGCATGACTTCTTAGTAGGTCGCCTAAGTTAATTGAGTTGTTCAACTTAAAATCAGGTAAACCTGATGCATTCTAAGCTAAATTAATGTGATAAAATATGTTTACTACTAAGCATTTCTCATGATTAAAAATAATCTGTATCTTAACTTAACAAACTACTTTACTCCCAAACCAAATCAGCTTGACCATAGCTAGTCTTTGTTTTGTATTGCTCGTAGATCTTCTCAAGTGCGCTGAGCTGTTTCTGGACAAAAACTTTGCCAACCTCGAACACATCCCAGAATTCATTTGTGAAACTATAAGAAAACCCCAAATCCTCCAGAATCGCCAGCCTCTCCTTGAGTGGAGAAGCTCCATCATCCAGCAGCTGCCTGACTTGTGACCTCCTGAACGGCGGCTCCAAAGTGTGCACTCGGCTTGTAGAGGCTCCGGGAGAAAGCAGCTGGTGCGATAAAGGCCCTGCTTCCACTTCCCTTGGAGCACCATCCAACAAGACTGGTGTGAGGAACAAGCTCTGGAAAACTTGCTCTCCTTGGTTGCACAATCTCATGTCCCATCTGCTGTACTCGGCAAGTTTGTCCCTCAGTTTCGCTGTGCTCGATATGTCTGTATCACCGGCCGCCAAAAGGATTTCTGCTTCTGCGACAGTGGCCAGTGCAGATACCCACTGCATTGAAAGATGTTCAGGCAGAGTCTTCATGACCAAGTATAGGCTGTCTTGATGATCGTGTATGAGCCTGGTTACCTTTGATCCGTAATCCTCGTCTTTGTGCTCCAGCTCGGCTCTTTGCTGTGATATAATCACTGCTCTTACGGCCTCGTGGAGGTCTTCGACTTCCTCCACTTCATCGGTCGCGTTCTTTTTGTCCTCGACCAACCCATAATCAAGCCACTTCAAAGCCGCTTCATCGTTGTGGACGCAACCGAACTCTGTGGAATCGAGGCGCAACACCAATTCTTGCAATGTCATGCTGTAGTGCTTGCAATACCTCATGGCCATCAATTGCATGCGCCTTGACAAGCGCAACCCCAGGAGCTCTATAACATCTATGAAGCACATCAGTGGGGTCGTTCCCAGGGAATGGTATTCACGAGAATCCATTGGGACTTGAAACCCTAAATGATGTTCACCGTTGTCGACGCAGCCAAAGATCTGCGCGTCGCCGATTTCGCGTACATGTCGACGAGGGAAAACGCTATACCTTTCTTCAGAGAAGCCGGGAGTCGATCTCCACAGCCTCCCCTTTCACTGCGCAGCAGCCGCAAGCCTTGATCGCAGCGAGAAAAGTTCTCGGTCGTGGCCCTTGAGCCCGGCAAACGAGAGGCTAGTCTTGGTGAGCCAGCGTCTTGTACTCCTCGCGGTTGAGAAAGTATGCATATGAATAAAGGGGATAGTCATCGTCATCGTAGCTATCATCATCTCCCTCTTGAGTCCTCGGCCTCGCCGCACGCTATTGCCAAAGCCACGAAGCCTTAGAAATGGAAAAAACTAGAGTAGAGATCGATGCTTCGAGTTGCATCAGGGGTGCGTTCAATCTTCTGGGGGCGTTTGCTATCTGCACCACGCCGCCGCCGCCTTTCTCGACCCATTCCCAGAGAAGCTCTTTCACTCGAGGCAGCGAAGACACAAATGAAGTCCACGTCCAGGCTGAAAACCAGGCACAGCCTCGATCCGCCAGTAACTTCCTCGAGCTGGTGCTCGCAGCCGCAAAAGAAGATCGTCAAGAGGTAGTTGCTGGAGCTGCCTTGCGAGAAATCAAAGCTGGAGCACTCCAGCCCCTGGCGGACCGCGAGCTGGACGATCACTGTTGCAAACATCCCAGCTTCCTTCTCCGTCCCTGTGGAACTTTTGAAGTGTCCTCCAGCCTCGTAGAGCAGCAGCTTGTAGCGCTTCACGTCGAGCTCCAGAGCTCTGGGATCCAGCCCCATGGCGAGCCCAGCGGCCGCCAAGCCATGAACCACAGACGAGAAGAAGCTTGGGGCAGGAGATCTTATCTGGAATGCTCGCCTCGACGAGCGTCCTCTCCGAGACCATATGCCGCTTGCTGACAAACCGACTTGGCCAGACCCTGGGAATCCATAACTCTCTTAAACCCTAAAATGTGGGTCTAGCATCCATGCGCGTTTTGCGTTTTGTTCAAGAGAACCGATGTTTGTAAGCCACAATTACAAAGACTACTATTGCTTCTTGAGTTTAAAATTTGGGGGGTTGGGTTGTGCCAGGCTAAGGCGGTAGTGTAAGGCCAAAGCGACACGTGGAGGGCCGGGTAGCAAGCTACCGGTGGCCCTCCTCCCACAAAAAATTAGGTTAATAGCGTTGGTACACGTGGTCCCATATCAGCTATTAAACTGATAAGAACAGATACTACACTTGATCTTAGCCAAAAGGCCGAGAAAGGTATGAATTTTCTATGCCCAGCCCTCTGTTTATATACTCAAGCCCCGGCACGATTCTGCGCCTTCGCATGTGGGATAGGGCGCACGCTTACGTGTCGCGCACTCCTTTACCCACGTTGAGCGCCGACGTGTCAAAATTAGGGTACAGGTGGTTGCCATCTCAGACTTTTATTTTCATCAATTTGATCGTCATAAGAAATTCTTGTTTTATGCTGTTTATATAGGTTTATGATTAGTAAATAAGCTGTTTCCTGGAACGCTAAAGTCTCTCTTTTTTGTTTTAAAGTTCCTGCAATAGGTGGTGCTTTGGTGCCAAAGCTTTTCTATTGATATTGTGTTCCAGCTTCTTTCGTGCTCTAGAATAGTTGTCTTTTGATTTTCTTTCTAAAGCTCAAAGCTTTGTAGGTTTTAAATTCACTTTCTTTTTATATTTCTTCATCACGTAAGCTCGGTGTGGAAGCAGTTTAAAAGAAGAAGCTACTTTTCTAGAGCTGGATTCGTACTGCTGTAACTTCGATCTTCCTCCTGGCGAAACAAGAGACAACTACTTCCGAAACGAAAAATGCGGTGAACGTGGATCGAACACGCGACCTTCAGATCTTCAGTCTGACGCTCTCCCAACTGAGCTATCCCCGCTTAATTTGACTAATTAATATGATTTGTTCTAAAAAAACAAACTTTAACAAAAGCTAAACTGATGAGTATAATATGAAAGGCTATTTTCTAGAAAAACTTTTCACTAGGAATTTCCTGTGGATGTTACCAACGTGGGAATTCTTTGCAAGTCCTTCCCATACTCGACGTGATAGAGGCTCGTTCAATCCGATGTCTTCCTGTTCGTTCACAGTGAGGAGCAAAGAACCAGACAGAGCTTTCAGGACCTTATAACGATGATACTGATCCACTGCAACATCTCCAGTTGTTCCATCCATTACTTATCCTGGAGTGGCGCCTTCATACTGCAACGCAAACTTTGCTTGAAGAATGACGAAAAACACCACCTTCTTGGATCAATCGAGACGGACAAAGAGAAGCCCATGAAAATGGAATGCTTGACACTGTTTCTAGAGCAAGAAAGAAGCTTGTTTGTTCCTGGAACGCAGAGAAAGAAAGGTCGATTAAAGTAAAATCCTTAACAAAACAAGCTACTGAAAAGACTCCTCTGTTCAGCCTTTCGTACGTATATGTTACATATATCACACTAGTTGTATGCATTTTTGAATCTAGGATAGCTATCCAAATATTAATATCAGCTGCTTTTCTGAACCTTTGCAATTACAAAATTTAAAGAATAGACAAAAGGTTATATGGCATCTCTATAACTCTACATTTGGAGCCACATTTCTATTTCTATGATGGTGATGATAGCTAAAAACTATCCAAAACAGAAAATGCGGTCAGTGTCACTATCCCTCCTAATCAGACTAATTATCATATTAAGTATGATTTGCTAAACGAAAGGGACAACTAATAAAATTCTCGGTTGCTAGTTAAACAACTCTTAATAAAAACGGAGAATTTGCGCTTGAATATTAAGTGGTGTGAGCTATGACTGGATGATAATTTTAAGGACTGCAATGATACATGGCACCACTACTTTGTCAGGAATTTCTTGTACCACAATGCGGATTTCTTGGGAACTCTTTGCAAGTCCTTCTCATACTCGACGTGATAAAGGCCGAATTTCACTGACAGTCCTCTCGACCACTCGAAATTATCCAGCAGAGACCACACAAAGTAGCCTCGAACATCGGAGCCATCGCTACACAAGCACGGAGATGATGAAAAAGAGAACATGAGCTTGCGAAGTTAAGAAGCTTACGCAATTGCTGCTCGAAGATTGGAAAGGTAGGCCTTCAAGAAATTCACCCTTGTCGTGTCGTTGAGTACTTCCTTCAATGGAGCTGTCGCATTTGTAACGTCGCTTATTCCTGATAGCGATTTTAGTGAAAGAAACTTTAGCAGCCAAAGCTCACCGTTTTCTGTGATGAAAATCGTTGGATTGTTGTACCGGAGACGAATGTAGTTGAGAAGGCGCCTCATTCCGAATGGAACGATGTAAAATCCATTCACGTTCTGTCCAATTAAACGACCATTCCTCGTATCTGCGACCATAATGGGATTCAAGCTTTTGAAGAAAGAGTATGAACTTGTCAAACCTGTAGAGAAAACTCCAGTGTCTTTGAAATAAGCTTGTTGGGAGAACGCTGCTTGTGGATGATTAGAATTACTAGCGTCTGCGTCGTAAAAGCTTGTGTAGTGGTTAATCCCAATGAAGTCATGAGATCCTTTAAGACGTTTGGATTGTTCTTTCGTGAACTTTGGAAGACGGTCGCGAACGCGAGAACGCATTGTTGCTGGATAGTCCCCGAACACGATTGGATCCAGCATCCTAGAACCATTCTTTGTCAGAAACTCTAGGAGAGCTGGAGCTCTTACCATCCAAGATTGAAGTCCAAGGCTCTCCTAGCTGCAGCTTTATCCTTTGAGGACCTAGAGAAAGGTTCGTGCCATTGCGCATCGAGAGTAATACCGATGATTCCAGCTTGTTTCTCCTGAGAAAAGAATAGAAGCCAGAAAATCCAATCAGGAAATGAAACACGTCTTTGAGACCTGGTATTTTTCTCGGTATATCTTCACTGCGGACGCGTGAGATAAAAGAATATGATGTCCAACAATGTAAGGCTCCACTGAAGAGTTCCCAGCAGAGCAATTGCCAACTTCAGACGAGCATCTTCCAGGAGCAAGCATGCCAAAATTGTAACCAAAGTTACAAACGACATGAGGCTCGTTGAAAGTAATCCAATGCTTGACACGATCTCCAAACGCTCTGAAGCATGCTTCGGCATAAGCTGCATAATCATCCCTGTAAAAATCAACGCTTTAAGCACAATGGACTCCTCCGAGTTTAGTGAAAACTCACACTATTCTGGAGCTCAGCCATGTCTTGTAGGCATCTTCCAAAGCTTGAGGACTGTCCCAGTGAAACAAAGTTACGTAAGGTTGAATCCCTGTCCAAAAAGACAAAGAAGATAAAAGTCAAAGAAAAAGAAAGAAAGAAAAATTGATCCTACCTACCTTTCTTGAGAAGTTCATTGATAAGGTTGTTGTAGTAATCCACACCTTCCTGGTTGATTTTGCCCCTCCCCTCTGCAAGAGCTAGCTTTTCAAAGATGCAAGTAGCTGATATGTAGCATACCAGGGAAAATCCGAGACCAAGAGATGGAAAATCTGTAAGCATCCACGCCCATGTCGACCATCAATCCGACATCTTCCTGTTGGTTCACGGTTAGGAGCAAAAAACCAAACCACACAGAGCTTTCAGGACCTTATAACGATGATACTGATCCACAGCAACATCTCCAGTTGTTCCATCCATTATTTTTCCTGGAGAAACCGATAAACAAGAGCTATGTAACCCACCAGTCTCTACCTGGAGTGTGAGCATAAACGTCCCAGATGCTTGGACCCCTTCCACCTTCTTTAGCAGCGCCTTCATACTGGAATACAAACGTTGATTGAGTGTTTGCAGAAGAAAAGAAGAGAAAGACGAAAAACTCAAGCTCCACCTGGTATGCCGCGGACGCTGTTCCAAACACGAAGCCTTTTGGAAAGCTTCTCCTGCTGAGGATCTCATGGCCCTCGACTGCGCGCACAACGAGAAGAAACGCGAAGATTAGTGCAACCATGGTTGTGGAAACCATAGCCAAGCCTCGCAGGAACGCAAGAAACAAGCTCTGTTATTTGTCGTTTTCTACTTCGTCCTGTCCAAGTTCGGGGAGCCGGGACGAGCAGAAATACTGTAAACAAACATTTGGTTAAGGAAATTTGATAATCTATGAACAAAGTGTGAAGACTAAACTTACGTCGCTCTCGAGGTTCCAGAAAAATGAACACCACATCTTGGATCAACCGAGACGGCCAAAGAGAAGTAACGCGTTCCATGGAAATGGAATGCTTAACACTAATTGTAGAGAGCACGAAAGAAGCTTGTTTGTCCCTGGAACGCAGAGAAAGAAAGAGCTGAATAGAAAAGCTTTGGCAATTGCCTTCCAAAGCAATTGAGAATCTTTAAACAAGACTAAACTTTCGTAGCTCACGAGGAAATTCCAGAAAGAATGAGCGCTGGAACAACACCACGAGAGAAGTAACGCGTTTCATAGAAAAGGAACTACTTCTAGAGAAAGAACCTTGTTTAGAGAGAAAGAGCGATTAACTCGCGAGAAAACTTTGGCGATTGCTTACCAAAGCAATTGGGAATCCAAACTGTGAAGACGAAAGTTTCGTGGCAGAGAGAGAAAGATCGATCAACTCTTGGAGAGAAAAGGTTTGGCAATTGCTTACCAAAGCAAAACCAAGTGCTTGCCAAAGCGATTGAGAAGCTTTGAACAAGTGCGAAGACTAAACTCGTAACGCGTTCCATGAAAAATGGAATAGACAACTATTTCTAGAGCACAAATGAAGCTGGAACACAGAAAAAGAAAGATCGATCAACTCATGAAGAGAAAAGCTTTGGCAATTGCTTACCAAAGCAATGTGAAGACTACGTTCCAGAAAGAATGAGCGCTGAAACAAGATCATCTTGGATCAACCGAGATGGCCAAAGAGTGAGTGGAATGCTTAAGACTCTATTTCTAAGAAAGCCCTGGAACATAGAGATACAACTCGTGAATAGAAAAGCTTTGGCAATTGCTTACCAAAGCACCACCTTTAACAAGAGAAGCTAGCCTACAAAACAACACAGCCATATAGCAAGAGCTTAGAAAGGAAATCAAAAGAGAGAGACTTAGCGTTCCAGGAAAATGGGAGAAGAGAGCTCTCATCCCAGGATCTCTACGCCTCGGCCTTCTGGTAGACATAGGTGAGTCCACACTTGCCACAGTAGTGACGATCAAAGTGATTCGCCATGAAAGTCCCGGCGCCACACTCTGGATTGGGGCACTCCTTGCGCAGCCTGTTCACCTTGCCCGAATCGTCCACCTTGTAGTACTGGAGCACCGCGAGCTTCACCTTCTTCTTCTTGTGCTTGATCTTCTTGGGCTTGGTGTACGTCTTCTTCTTCCTCTTCTTGCCGCCACCGCGGAGGCGCAGCACCAAGTGGAGCGTGGATTCCTTCTGGATGTTGTAGTCCGCGAGCGTGCGCCCATCCTCGAGCTGCTTGCCCGCGAAGATGAGGCGCTGCTGGTCCGGGGGGATGCCCTCCTTGTCCTGGATCTTGGTCTTCACATTGTCGATCGTATCCGAGGACTCGACCTCCAAAGTGATGGTCTTGCCGGTCACTGGAAACAATCGAGGCGCGCGAGTGCGGAATCGATCAGAATCGGCGGCGCCGCATCGAGATCGAGGAAAAACTTACATGTCTTGACGAAGATCTGCATGGCTCCAGACTCGTCCTTCTTCGCCGCCGCTCCTCGCCTCGACGAGCCCTAAACCTCGGCGGCGGGGGGTCTATATCTAAGAATGCAAGCCGTTGATCTTGCTAGGCTAACGATAGCCGTCCGATCGTGATTAGTCTAAACCTTACACCGGCTTAACACAACTTCAAATCTCACCAGAAAGGTTATGGAAATTTGATTAGTCTAAGAGTAATTAATTAAGAGATAATATAATACGGTTTAAGGAAGCTTCGAATTTTACACGAGCTAGACGTTTGAATCGTCGTCTACTTTGTAAGCGACTAAGGAGTCGATCTTGTGGATCTGTGAAGAAAAAAATGGAGAGAAACGAGGGAGTGAGAGCTTGATGTGGGCGAAATTATTGCCTACCTTTGTGTTGAGCGAGCGTAGTTTCACCTCCTGGGCTTTCTTGATGAGCCGGGGATCGCTTTCTTCCCAGGAAGTGGGAGCTTCCAAGTCCGTGTCGGTGTAAACAAGCAGCTCGAAAGAACCTTGCGAGATGTTTTAGAATGGAAGTGAGAAAAGAATGAAACATTTCTTACATGATTCTTCGAGGTGAGGAAGAAATGTGACGCTGGAGGTGATTTGTCGCATGATGGCTTGAATCTCTTGCATTATCTCCTTGTCGCTCTTTTCTTTCGTGGCACTGAGAAAGAAGAAAACGCTACAGTCAAGAGCAAGCCTGGAGAGAAGAATTTTACCCCGTTTCTGTGGCTTCCCGGTCTGTTTCAATCAAAAAGTTCCACCTTTCGAGAACTTCTTTCGTTGCCAAGCTTGAGATCACCATCACAACGCGCTGGACTTTTCCAGTTTGCAACCAATCTGTACAATCAAGCCACTCTCTGGATGAAGAGAAGTTAGAACACGAGAAAGAAACATACCGGCAATCTGCGAAGTCACTGCCGAGATATAGCCCTTCACTTTGTCTTCGTGAGAAACTAGCATTGTCAAGCCATATTTCTTCACTCTATCAAACTGCTCAGATGGATACAAGCCTCGTTGGAAAAGAATGCTATTGACAGCATAAGCTGCAAGAGAAAAAAAAAAGACAAGTGAGCGAAAAAGAAGTCTCGAAAACCATGTAGAAAAAAAAATCGAAGAAGAAGAATTCCAAAGAAGAAGAGCATAAACAATGATTGAGAAGAAATGCCGGTTCTAATGACACTCTAGACACACAAAGAGAATGAAATACAAGCAAATCAAGCTATTTCCACTCGATCTCTTCAAGAAGAAGGGGATAAACGATGATCGAGAAGAAATGCTGGTTCTAATGACATTCTAGACACACAAAGAGGATGAAAAAACAAACAAATCATGCGATTTTCACTCGATCGACACACGTTCTCCTATACTCACAGAAGAACTCCCCAACGATGGACGAGGATCCCTTCAGCGTGATCACATCGCGCGTCGCCGCTTGCTGCCCAGTCCCCATGCCCGCGCGCTTCGATCGATCGATCGCTCGTCCCTTAAAACCCTAAACCTTTCCTCTCCCAGCTGCGATTCGAACGTCTAACGGATAGAAAGTTTCGCTAGGGCTGTATATAGCCGTCAATTTCTACTGTGCCCAAAGCCCTAATCGCGCGAGGGCGGAGGAGCGCAATGTCTGAGGCGCCAGCACGTAAGTTCTCTTCAATCGATGTGGCGATGGTTTGATTCATCGCGTTTCTCCAGCTCTGGTGCGGTCCTTTGCGCAGATCGCCAGTCAAGAGGAGGTCACAAGCCCTTTGCGCGCTGTCCAAATCGATGGCCTTGTGAGTGACTTGCGATGATTTTAAGGTTTTCTTAGTGTTTTCCTTGTCTCCACCACAGGTGGTGCTCAAGATCATCAAGCATTGCAAGGAATGTATGCCGGCGCTCGTGACTGGACAGCTCCTGGGACTGGATATTGGAACCACGCTCGAGATTACAAATTGTTTTCCATTCCCGGTATGGGTAGGCTTGGAAAAATTGGATTTGAGCTTAGTTTTCTCTTGGTTTGCGCAGAGCAGAGGTGGAGAAGAGGACGAAGAGCTTGAATCGGATGGAGCGAACTATCAGCTCGAGATGATGAGATGCTTGCGAGAAGTCAATGTTGACAACAATACCGTTGGATGGTATGCGAAGAGTTTTGTTTCTTTTCTTGATCTAAGAACTTTGTTTCTCCAGGTACCAGTCGACATACATGGGTTCTTTCCAAACTGTGGAGCTAATAGAGACCTTTCTAAACTATCAGGTGCGTTGTTTTTTCTTTCTTTCAGTATCGTCGTTTGTCTCTAACATTGGAAATCTAGGAAAACATAAAACGCTGCGTTTGTATCATTTATGATCCCCTTAGGTCCAGTCAAGGTGTCCTCGCACTCAAGGCTCTAAGGCTCACCGATTCATTCATGGAGCTTTATCGCTCCAATAACTTCAATGGCGAAAAGTAAGCTATAGTTGTATGTACTTCCAAATTACTAATGGATACCACTGTAGGCTTCGAGAGAAGAACGTCACCTGGCAAGATATCTTTGAAGAAATTCCTGTAAGTACTTGCTTAGTCGATCCTTACTGATCACGATGACGCCGCAGGTCAGAATATCAAACTCTGCTCTTGTGAGCGCTCTAATGACAGAGCTAGAAACCGATTCACCGGCTACTCAGGTATGGAACTTGATAAAACATTTCCCTCTCATATGTTTGTCCATACCAGTGTGACTTTGATCGACTCGTGCTTTCGACCAATCCATTTATGGAAAAGAACTTAGAGTTCCTCATAGAGTGCATGGACGATCTTTCAATGGAGCAGCAAAAGGTAAATGGACTTCACCACTCACTTTGGTTTCATCCTGAATTGCTTTGTCCTTTCTCCAGTTCCAATTCTACTATCGCAATCTGGCAAGGCAGCAAACACAGCAGCAGGCTTGGCTCCAGAAACGAAGGTACGATTCGCTACGTTGCTTCGCATTATGATAGAAACGTCCACTTCCAGGGCCGAGAACATGGCGAGAAGACAAGCAGGCGAGGATCCTCTCCCGGAAGACGATCCAAACAATGCGGTCTTCAAGCTGATTCCAGAGCCGTCTCGTCTCGATAGCTATCTCATCACGAACCAGATCGCAAACTACTGCAGCCAGATCAATGGGTGAGTTCTTCGTTGTAGTTTTCCATTGTTCTTTCGATCTTTGCTTACATCTTTTTTTCTCTTCCAGGTTTGCTGGACAGAGCTTTAGCAAAATCTATCTCATGGATGCTGTCCACGAAGACTAGCTGCTAGCAAGCAATTTTGGCGGGGTTTTGGACATGTATTGCTACAAATCAGGCTATTTTTTTTTTTCTATGCCAGGTGGCGCAACGAGAAAGTGCCAAATGTCGCAATTAAAAGGTCTATGCCAGGTGGCGCAATTAAAAAGCGCCAATTGTCCTCTTGTTTTCTAGGGTTCTAGAGTTCTTGGAAGCTACCGCATTTCCTCTTGCCACGCGCGCGCGCCTTCGCTTGATCGATCGATCGTCTTGTCGGCTTGTTTGTTTCGATCTGAGGTGATCCGGCATTGATCGATCGATTGATCTTGTCTTGCTTGGATATCGTTGCTAGGGTTTGGAGGATCGTCCATGGAGAAGCAGGAGCTCGCTCTGGAGATTCTACACTCTACCTCCGTCCAGGACCTGGTGAGAGACAAGGGAAGGCTTGTGGAGGTCCCATACACCGCGACGGTGGGCGACACACTCAATGTGTTGCTCGCCAAGAACATCCTGGCCGTGCCAGTGGCGGCGCCGCCCGGGCACTGGATCGGCGCCGGCGGTTCCATGGTCGTGGAATCGGACAAGAGCAGCGGAGTGCCGCGGAAGCAGTACATTGGAATGGTGAGCGTGCTCGACATTCTCATCCATGTCGCAGAGCGAGAGGATGGCAGCTGCGAGAGGCTCCAGACTGCCATCTCCAAGATCATCGGGCATTCCTTGGAAGGATTGAGCCTCTGGAGCATTGCTCCTCACACCTCGTAAGAACTTTTAGTTTCATTTTTTTTTCTCTTTAGAGAAACTAGGAAGCTAACTTTGTTGCTAAAGAACTTTCTTTTGCTCTCCAGGTTGGCTGACACTATGGAGCCCATGAGCAAGGGAATTCACCGGGCTCTAGTTCCAGTTTCTAGCGCGATGGATCACGTCTCTGGTGTGGAGCTAGTCGAATCGTCTCCCGGGTATCATATGCTCACTCAAACGGACGTGATGGCGTTCTTGCTCGTCCACTCGCAGCAGCTGGAGCCTTTGATGTCGACTGATATCGGCAGCCTCGGAGCGGTGAACAAGAACGTTTATGCCGCTCCCGCGGACATGAGGGTGATGGACGCAGTGAGGGCGATGCGCTTTGCGTTCCTGACGGCGGTGGCGATCGTTGATCCATCGCCGGTGGCGCAGCTTGCAACTCAGCTAGTAGCGGTATGTTGTTGGTGGTTCGTTGGTTGTTTCTTTCATTCTCTGGTTCCTGGAGCTAAGTTGTGCGCGTTGTTTGTTTGCCTTTTACAGGGTGATGGAAGACGGTTGCTTGGGACATTCTCGGCCAGTGATTTGAGAGGCTGCAACTCGGACGTGTTGACAAAGTGGGCCTCGCTATCAGTCCTCGAGTTTTCGCACAAGGCGTTCCTCGCGAGGCGGTTTGGATTCGGGGCCGCATGCATCGAGGCTGTCGACCAGACAGCAGCATCGCTCGATCCTCAGCAAAAGCCGCTTATCACTTGCCAGCCGTCGGCATCGCTCAGGGAGGTTATCTCCAAGGCCCTGGAGAACAGAGTCCATCAGTTGTGGGTTGTGGACGACGCAGGCTCCCTGCTGGGCATGGTGGCTTTCACAGACATACTTAAGGCTGTCCGACAGGCCTCCAAAAGGCAGTGATCCAACAAACAGATACACAGGGAAAAAGAAGCGAAGGAAAAGAATTGGAAGAGGAAAAGGAGTTATGACAGCAACAACCAAACCGATCACTTAGTGCTGCTGCTACGTTTTGGTGTTACGGTTTCTCGCCGAGCCTTGAATGCAATCTAGCTGGAAGAAATCGGCCGCGCATCAACGTATCTATCAAGCGGGACTGCTTCGTCGTCTTCTCCTTCGGGTGTAGTTCCGGTTTTCCAAAGCCTTTCTTTTTCATCTTTTTCTTATTCACTTGAGAGTTTTTTCTTTTTGTTTGCAGACACAGTAAGAAAAGTTGTGAAGGTGTTGTTCGTCGTCTCTCATCCAGAGCCGCTTTTATGGAACCGGGTTCGTTCTTGTGCTCTTAAAATCATCTATCGATCATCGATCGTATTTGATGCAAGCATTGAATCTCTCTGACGCTTTAGTTCTTCTCCTATGCTCAGTAGTGCTGGTGGATCTGTAAGACTCTGGGGGCTCTCCTAACGGAAGGAAACTCTGGAGAGCAGTCCATTGGCCATGTAGAGCACCACCATCATTCTGTAGTTGACAGGCTTCTCGTCCAGCAGCTCGAACTTGAAGAATCTGAGCAGCAAAATGGTTGTGATCTTCATCTGCAAGTAGGCCGAATCTTTCCCCAGGCAAATTCGAGGCCCAGCCTGGAAGAACAAAAGAAAGATCTCCTCGTCAAGAACACACATAATAATAACAAACCAACTTTTCCAAATTCTCTTCTTGCCTGGAATGCCGTGAGCTTGAATGGAGATTGGGGCTGGAAGATGTTGTCGCTGCGTAGCCATCGGTCGGGCTTGAATTCCAGGACGTCGGGGCCCCAGATTTCTTCCAGCCTGCCCATCGCCCACGACGAGTAGCTCACGAATTGCCCGCCCTTGACGCTAAAGCCGTCGGGAAGAACATCGTCCGCCACCACCGTCTTGGTCTCCTGCGAGAAAATCCACGAATTTTTTGCAGGATCAAACGGATCAGCGATCGAGGAGTGGAATCGAAGGCATGAATTTGCAATCAGTGATGGAAATTGACGAACCCAGATGGAGCAAGCAATCCGCGGAACCAGAAGAAAAACAGGGGAAAAGCAGAGGAGTGACAATTGGTGGAAGAATTTGAGCAATCGGTGGAAGAATTCGAGCAAAATGCGATGACCCAAGAGCATGAATCGAAAAAATGAGCTCCCGATCTCTCGGACTGGTATCACTTACCAGAGGGACGGCCGGGTACAAACGAAGCGCCTCTGTGAGAGTGGCTTGCAAGTAGTGTAGCCGGTTTAACCCCTGGTAATCCAGCTTCCGCGAGAAATTGGCAACCTTGGCGAGCACTTGCTCCTTCTTGCTCATCGAATCCTTGCCCTCCAGCTCCTCGTCCACCCCAAACACGCGATCCACCTCCGCCAGGATCTTCTCCACCACCTCGGGCCGCTTGGCCAGCTCCGAGAAGAGCCACGAGAGCGTGAGAGCGGTGGTGTCGCGCCCCGCGATCACGAAATTGATCACCACGTCGCGCAGCATCTTGTCGGTGTAGGCCTCCTCCTCGTCGAGCGAGAGAAATCTCGACAGGATGTCGGGGCGGCCCTAGGAAGACGAAGAGCGAATATTAGAGAATCTTTAAGGAATAACTTGGATTTCCAGCTTACCACGTCCTTGGATTGCTTGAGCTCCTGGCGGCGGCGCTCGATGACGCGGTAGAGGAAATCGTCCATGACGCGGATGCATCGCTTGAGCTCCCGCTCGGATCCGGCGTTGAAGGACCTCTTGATCTTCCAAAACATGTCGATGTAGCGCCGGATGATGAGCGTGTTGCCGTAATCGAAAGCGTGCGCGAAGGGGATGAGTGGAAGATCCGGGCGTAGGCAGCCAATCTCCACTCCAAAGCCGATCTTACAGATGGAATCCAGCGTCAGCCTTAAGAACAAGTCCTGTCACAAGAGAGAAAGAGTTTTTCGCGCTGATTGTCTCGATTTTTGTGAGAGAGATCTTTGCGCAGACCTGGAGATCGAGCGCCTGGCCCGTGCCGGATCGATCCGCGAGGATGCCCGCCAGCTTGAGCGTGAGATCGCGGAACGCGAAGGTGCTGTAGTCGCGCAGCTTGGACGAGGCGAATTCCACCGTCGCGACCTTGCGCTGGTGCATCCACATCTCCCCATCCACGTTGAAGATCCCATAGCCCATCATGTCGCGGAATCGCTGCCTCAGGAGCTCCCCCTGGAAGGAAGAAAAACAAAGAAAAGTAATCAGCCAAGAACACCGACCACGAGCGATCGAGAAGACAATGCAGGTGGGCGGTGGCCAGCGGCATCAAAATGCGATTTTGGGAGAAGCCCACGTCGGGGAATCGCGATCAATGCATGGAGGAGCCGCGCGGCAGGGAATCAAGCGAGCGAGCGCAATCGGAGAATGGAATGGGGGGGACGAGCTCTGCTATACCTTGGGGTAATTGACGAAGTTGGTCTTGAGGATGTACTCCACATTGGCGGGATGGGCCGTGAAGGTGTTGTTGACGCCAAGAACAGGGGCGGAGAAGGTCCACGTCTTGTGGTGGTAATCCAGCAGCCAGTGATGGAGGCGATCGAAGTTTGCGATCTGCTCGAAGAGGCAGCCGACGAGGGGCCAGGATTTGGGACCGCGGAGCCCTCGCTGCCGGAACCTGTGAAGGAAGATCCACCACGCCAAGATGAGAGCCCAGGTGATAATCCATGTCCAGGCTCCCGAGGAGAACGATTGCGATGAGGAGCTCCACTTCCATAGCCAAGGGGAGGAAGAGGAAGGGAGGAAGGAGAAGAGCTTGGATGCCATCGTCGAGGAGGAGGAGGAGGAGGAGGGCGCCAGCACCGTCGCCTCCATTGCTGCGAGGGGCTGGCCTATACACGAAAGTTAAGCGCGCTTACCCCATTCAAACGCACGCGCTTATGTTCTAGGGGAATTTGCTTAGATTTAAGCGTTTGAAGTTTCTTGGGCTTTCACACTAAGGCTCATTTCTCTCTCAGTTTTTTTTCTCCTCTTTCTTTTTTCTTGTTGCTGCTGTTGGGGGCGTTTTAATTGTTGTTGTTGCACACACAAATGATCTGTGGCTGTATTTGGCTGGCTGAGACTTTGATGGGTATGGTTGGCCAAAGATCATCAGAAAAGCTCTCCTTGGCCAAAGATCATCAAGTTTGCTTCATTATGTGTTGAAGATCAGCAGGAAGAGCGATTGTTCTTCAATTTTTTTCTTCTCCTACTACCCAGCAATTCAAAGCCTAGCTCTAGTGAAGATAGAATTCTTGCTTTTTTTCCATGTGGGCTTGTGGGTGGCGGTGGAGTGGAAAAGGAATCTCAGCTCTCTGTCAAAGTGAAGTGTGTGTTGTGTTGTGATGCACAATTTCTTCCTTCCCACTATCAATGCAAGACAAACGAAAGGCATCTGCCCGTAGTTATGAGCAGTGGGCTGAGCCTGGAAAGTTAGAAGAAAAAAAAGTTGACAAGGCAAACAGTACCATTTTTTACCATCACGCTCAAAGCTTCTTTCTTTACCTTCATTCGCTCGCATTGAGCTACACAAACTGCGCGAATTGCAAGGAGTAAACCATTTGCAAAAGTCAGCCCATGCCCATGGATATTTAAATCTTAATGCTTGGCATTGATGAACTCTAAATCTTTCCATTGACCTCCTGCTTGCATTGCGCGTTGGTCAGTCAATTTGACACGCTCAACGACACCAAAGAAAAAAAAAAAAAAAAGACAAACTCGACGAAGAACTCGCTCCAAGTCAACGCCAGTCAGCCGCCACCATGTTCCACCCATTTATAAGTCGACGGCGCGCGGCTAGTCTCCAAGCAAGCAATCGTTTCGCGTATAAATTTCTGTGCCGTGGCTTTAAAGATCGCACCGCCTTTGCCGTTGAATCGTTTTGATCGATCACAGGAGAGGCCGGAAGTAGGAATCGTAAGCAACGAGACAAAGCCAGCAAATGCCTCACCTCCGCAAAGTTTATAGTTTGGCCACAGTGCTCAAACTGACAATCTGGTCGTGAAATAGTCCCGAGAAGCGATTTGGAAGGTCTGGAGGTAACAATCGTAAGAAACGAGGCAAAATCCAAAGCCCTCACCTATGTCTTTCATTGAGCTTTTAAATTGCGAGTGGAAAGTAATCTGGCTGTAAAACTCGATGGAGCAAAGAAGAATCTAGACTTGGATACGAAAAAAACCTGCATGAACAGGAGAAAAATATGAGAGAGAAAGGGAGGTTCTCGACTGCAACATGTTACTAACTTACTAATCACCCACGGGGGAGGAGCAGTGCCAGAGAAAAGGCAGCGAAGCAGTCTTGCCGTAGCAAAGAGCAGCATCGCTTTGCTGCTGCCGCACTGGCCGGATGCATCAAGTCGTCCCTGCCATCTTGTAAAAGGAGAGATCTAGGCATTAAAGGAGACAGGGACATTGTGAAAACCATAAGCAATACAAGGTACCTTGTAAGCAGAATATCAAAGCTGGTTGGTGCTAGTGCCTTTCGTTCCCCCAACCATGAAAGTTACCAAGGTAATCCTCTGGCTGATAGCGTCGCTTCGTTGCTCTGGAGAAATTTGCAGTGGCGACTTCTTCAGCCTACTAAAAAAGAATAGGACTAGTTACTAAAACAATGAATGACATTCATGAGGGGAAAGTACCCAGATGCCAGGCAGAAGGTGGCAGCGCACGTATTTACCACCACCTGACGTCGCAACTTCTATCCCCCCTGTCCTTGTAGAAGGGGTAGCCTTATATTCCTCCTGCGGCAGAATAACTAATGTCAGCAATCTTCAAAGCCACACCTAACTACATAAGAAGTACTGAGGCAGTAAAAGAACTCGAAAAATCAGAGAAGTTTACCTTGGACAGTCCGAGCTTAGATTGATCAAAGCCGAGGACAAAGATTTCTCCAAAAGAAGAGAGTCCTGGAAATTTATGCATAGAATAAGTTGTTTGAGGTAGTTGAGGCCAGCAGTATACTATACCGTAGTAGCTGCTCTTTGGTCAAAAGTGCCTGCCAGACCCGTATGCTGTCCTCCGGATGTTCCTGTCTTGGTATATTTCGTCAAAAGAACCAGCAAAAATTCGTTAGTTTGAAGACGCGGAGGAATATTGGCCACGAGGAAACTTCAGAATTCACTCGTCTCGAAGATTATCTGAGATGGCCGTCTCACATGTTTTTGTCGGCACGAATTCAACAGTGTAGCCTGCTATGATAAACAAGGAGTCAAAATTTGAATCCACCTTAAGCTCTAGTTTATGCCCAAGTCCTTGAGAGAATGAGGCCCGATAACGAATATATAGCGTGAAGTCTGCCACCTGAAAACAACTACGCCTTTGTACGCAGTTCTCGGCACACCATCCTGCGATGTAAAGTATCAGCTTTTTTGGAAAGGACTGTTCTCATCGTACCTTCCATTCCTGAAATATACCAAACTGACGAGCAATGGCCTCAAACGTTCTCTGACTATCGTACTCAATTCGCACATCTCCGTCTATGTTATAAGCTTTTGCAGCTTCCAGCGCCGGAACAGGCACCGCCTTGCTGACAAGTTCAGCGAAATGCTTCTTATAATTCTCCTGCGAGTAGAAGTGTAAGGAAAACAATATAGATGGGTTACTGTAACAGTGGCATACATCCATGAGGTACGTAAGATCTTCTTCTTTCCAGTTCACCTGCGCGAATGACAGTTGTTCATGAGATTTTTCCACGTTGAAATTACCTGAACATCGTTGAGCTTTATCGTTTCTAGGTACTGCCTGAAAAACTGTCCGAAACTGGATCCCTGCATGAAAGTATTTGGTTCACGAAGAATGAAACAAAAGAACTTACATGCTCTCCAAAGTTGTACGTCCGACAGACTTCCGGTCGAATGAATTGTCGTCCTTTACGAGTTTCATTGAGCCTTAGCCAATCATCCCAGTACGCCTTTGGCCACTTGGGCGCAAGCTCGGTCCAGAGAGACTTTTTAAGCATCCATCCTAGACCCGGGAAGAAATCCGATCGGTACAAAGCCTCTGTTTTAACAGAAATTTCATAAGCTTCAAACTAGAGCGATTTAAGCAACTAACGCACCTGGATCTTGTACAAATTGCCGCTGTCCATTATCATTCCAAGACGAAACTGCAATGAGAGAGCTTCATTCAAAAAACCACTGTCCATGTTAATCGGACATTAGAAATTCAAACAGCATAAAAGCACGAAACTCTACCTGTCTTTATCCAGTAACGAAGCCGTTGCTTCGAAGTAGTCAAAGAAGTCGGGTGCAAGCTCCATGTCATCTATAAGAAACACCGTAAAGTTTCTTTAGAAAAAGCAAGCAGGAATTACCTTCCAGAATAATTACTCGACTGAAGCTATGTCTATCAAAAAGCTGGCTCAGTGCCCACTTGTAATGTCCTGTGAAAAAGTGAAGTAAGTCAGCATACAAGTGCTGCAGCATCGCACTATACTCGCAATCTTATAGTAGGCAATTATCTCTCCCGGACTCTGTGTGTGTATTGGCTCATCATCCAAATGCTGAAAGGAAAAAGAAAACGAAATTAAAAAGGAAATAGATGGACACCACACATTAACCAAAACCTGCATATAAGTAAATTGCGGAAAACTTCGAGCTTTCAGCCGAACTTGCTGGTCTGTTCCATCCTGCCAGAAGCATTATAAAAACAAGTCCCCCCTGAACGCAATCCATACCTGTGAGATGAAAAGAGGGAACTTGGCTGACACAGAGTTGTGGTATCTGGTAAAGGAGTAAAGGAAAAAAAAAATGTTGAGGCCAGAAATATCTCAAACAACATACTTTAGAATAGATTGAACTGTTCGATCCAAATAGTCTGCGCGATTGCATGCCATCACGACCACGGCTGCCACAGGCTGTGAAAGACTCAGAAGTTAAAAGCTTAAAGCTGAAAAATCACTTCCATTTACCTGTGCGCTTGTAAGATGGGACGACGTCTCCTGATCTACAACATCAACGAGCAATAAGGAACAAGAAAACGAAAAAGAAAGAACCAAGAGCTTACTTTCAAAGTCGACAATTCTGGTAGAGAGCTGTAGAACCTTCGTATCAAGGCGCTTATTTTGTTCTAAGCGAAACAACGTACTTAATCATTCGTTTCAACAACAAAATGTGTTTGGCACGCACCTTCCAAAGAGACAATCCTTCCTTGCTGTGAGCTTATTTGATCGATCAGAGCCTTTAGCTGACTGATACATCGATTCTCCGACTCAACCTGTCACAAGCAGCTTAGCTCATCAATCGCATGAATTTCTTCTTCCTCACAGCTGCGGCAATGCGATCGGCATAATCCGACTGAGTGGCAAACAAACGCATCTGTCACGAACACAAATCCGAGTGAGCCACGGATCTGTGAAATCTCCGCCAGGGATTTCCCACCTGGAGCACGAGGAATGCGATCGCGCCGAAAACGAGGAGAATCCGTGCATCAAACGGACAATGCATCGTGCTCGCCTCCAAAAACCCTAGCTAGCTCCAAAGAACTTAAGAAAAAACAAAAGGTAGAAAAGTAGAAGGTCCCACCGAGATTCGAACTCGGGCTCTTGGATTCAAAGTCCAATGTCGTAACCACTAGACTATGGGACCGTAAGACGAAAGTCGTTCCAACAAAGAAGCCCTTGTACATTATACAAAATCCCAAACTTTACTTAAACCACACGACACCACCTCAAAACCAATACATGAACACAAAGATCAATATAAATCTGTACAAATTTCTTCATTTACAATGTTTGTCTTTGATTTTTTTTATATGGTTTCTCCTCCAAATACTTCCTCCCCGCTGTAAGTTACGTATAAGAATCCATCCTTGTCCTTGTAATCGTTGTAGATCGACATCATCATGGCTCCTGGGAAGAACTCGAGCTTTAGGAACAAGCACTAGAAGTTTTTCCGCGAGAAGGTTACCTGTTTGTGGCAATACTTTTCCGACGAAGATGAAGAGCGCCTGGCCTGGGGACAAGCTGAGCCTGCGATTTATGATGTACACGAGCTGCCCCACTGTCAGATCCGCGGGGACGAGATATCTGCAAAAGAAAAGAAAAGTTTGTCAATCGAGAGCGTGGAAATGAAGGAAAGGAGCTCGAAAGATTGAGATGGAGAGCTCGAGAGATGGAGATGGAAATTTTTTGATGAGATTGGGAAGAACTGTAGAAGTCTTAGATGGAATGGAGCTGTAGAAAGGTTAGGAAAAGATTTAAGAAAAAATGGGGAGCTTGAGCGATGGAGTACTTACTTGGGCTTGTCCATGGCTGGTAAGTTGGATCTCGGAGCTTTCTCCACGATGACCTACAAGCAAAGCTCAAGATCACCCAAAATTTTCGAAGAAAATCCAAAGGAAAAGGAAGATTTGGACTTACCGGAATCCTATCAGCGTACTTCTGTCGAATTTTCGACGATTCGGCGAGTCTGCTATCTAGCCGGAGGAAGGAATCACAGAGAGAATGGAGAAAGTCCGCGAAATCGACTTACCGAAGGAGTGCTCATCCTTGAATCCCATGGCGCTCTACAAATTAGGGCCTGGATAGGGAGAAGTATTTTAATTTAGGGTTCATGAGCAAAGGGGTGGGAGGAGCGCTTCCATCGGATCCGCGCCTGCCGTCGGCGGCCCGGCCGTATGTCCCGCCGGTGGTGCTTCCGCAGGATCTTCCTCCGGATTACTCGAGCTTGCTGGCGGTGATGTTTGGAATTCTCGGCATCATGCTCCGGGTGAGTGATTTTGAGCTTGGATTTTGGAGCTGGAGCTCATGGATCTGGTGTAGAACAAGATCGGATCGTGGCTCGCCCTCATTTTTTGCGCGCAATCGCTCGCGAACATGAAGAATTTGGAGAACGATCTCAAGCAAGTGGTCATGGCACTGGCGTGAGTTTGTGGATTTTCTCTCTGTTTCTCTGTTACTGATTCTACTCGTTCGTTTGTAGGTTTGTGGTGATGGGTATGGCGACGAACTATCTAAGCGCGCAGAGATCGTCCGCTACTACATGATACATTCTCTAGTGTCATGTAAGAAACAGTCGTGACAATTTTAAACTCTATGATTAGCTTTTGACACAAGAGCTCGATCTAACTTCTAGACGCTTGAGACGATCCTCCAGAACGATCTCATGATCCAGTTCTTCGTAGCTTGCATCTACATTCTTGAGAAAAGGTTAAAAAGTATATTGGCTTCATCCAGGTTCGAACTGGAGACCATATATTTGCCGGGGTTCTTTATTAGGGCAACATAAGCCTGCGCCCTATCCCACATGCGAAGGCGCAGAATCGTGCCGGGCTTGAGTATATAAACAGAGGGTTGAGCGATGAAAATTCATACCTTTCTCGGCCTTTTGGCTAAGATCAAGTGTAGTATCTGTTCTTATCAGTTTAATAGCTGATATGGGACCACGTGTCCCAACGCTATTAACCTAATTTTTTGTGAGAGGAGGGCCACCGGTAGCTTGCTACCTGGTCCTCCACGTGTCGCTTTGGCCTTACACTACCGCCTTAGCCTGGCACAACCCAACCCCCCAAATTTTAAAATCAAGAAGCAATAGAAGTTTAATGTTTAGCATTAGATTTTTATTCCATGAAAGTTGCTCTGACAAAGACAAAATGAAGTCTCAGTAGTAGCAGCATTATGTTAATGAATCGTTAAATTTCGTTGATTTTGAAGTTCCTTGAAGTAGTGTTTCGTGTAGTTAATTTTAAAAAGTTCTTCTTGACTCTAAATTCTCGTTTGGCTTATAATCTTAAGAAACACTAAAATAAATGGCTTCATCCAGGTTTGAACTGGAGACCTTCAGTGTGTTAGACTGACGTGATGACCAACTACACCATGAAACCTTAGATAGATATTTACTACGTTGATACATACATTTTCGTAGAGGAAAGTTGGCGTCCGGAATCTTAGAATTAGATGTCACCTTTTCATTTTCGTCTTCCAGCGCTTTAGACTTTCCAATATAAAAGCTGCACTCTCTTTATTTATTTTGAGCACAGTGTTTGGAGATGGAGATTGGAGGAAGCCTCCAACCTTTTGAAAGCAAAAACTCCCTTCAGTAATGCTAGTTAGTTAATTGGAGTTAGTGTAATTGTCCTCACGTCAATCTAACACGCTGAAAGTGGATGAAGCCTTTTATTTTAGTCTTTTCTCCTTCTTGATCTTCTCAAGAAGATTAGTCTGAGATTGTCAGGAATGTATGCAACAAGATATATATTGATCCATACATTTACCTTGGATAGAAAGTCCGCGACCCGAATCTTAGACTTAACATTTCATCTTTTCATTTTCTTCTTCCAGCACTTTAGACTTGCCAACATAAAAGCTGCCATCTCTTTATTTATTTTGACCACGATTTTCAAGTGCTTGCCAAGTGTTTTTCCAAAACTTTACAGCTCCAGCCATCCAGAAGAACAAAACGAGGGGGAGAAAAACAAAGAACAGGCAGTCCAGTCTCGACCAAGACAAACCTTCGTCCTTCGCCTGTAAGGAACAAGAATAAAAGAGAATGGCCATAGCTGGAAACTTAAGCACGCTAGAAGATCAACGAACAGTGGCAGTGAAAGAGATACTTCAATCAGTCTCGATGCAGACAGCCAAGCTTTGCGACACAGACGCGCCAACAAACGAGAGGAACAAGAATACAAATCTGCGATGAATTTCTGTATAGACCAGGGGCGTATCACGAAGGAATAGTACACAAACCTTGCCAGAGATTCTTAGCTTTCACGACTCGTTGTTCCTCAGGATGGATCGCACAGCGAGTGTGAGCTGAGTGGGATCCTTGAACGTCGACAGTGGCCTGCGCACCACACTCTGGGAGCAAATGCATCAAGTCAAGCTCATAGAACTCGTAGAAAATCTCGTTTAAGTACCTCGTTTGTCCATAGCCCATCTCCGGAGAACCTCGGGACAATGTGGAAGTGAGTCTGTAAAGCGTTGTCTCTTAGAAAACTCCCAGAAAAAAGGAAGTAGAAATCGTCACACTTACATGAAACACGACTTGGCCGGCAGCCTCACCATTGTTGACGACCATATTGAAAGAATCTGGAAGCTGTGAGCAGTAAGAAACTATATAGACTCTCGGCCAAGCTTGACAAAGAAATAACTTAATGAGAAAGCCTACCACAAGAAGTCGCTCCCATGATCGCGTTGCTTAGCAAAGGCACGACACTACACATGGCCGCCGCTACCTACAAGCAAGTGAGAAAGTGAGAAAGAAAAAAGAAAGAAATCCTCCAAGCGTTAGCGTTTGAGAAGAAGTTCTAGCTCGAAACAATGGATGCTTACCGTTGGAGGAGTAGCATCCAGTGCCGGGAAATGACCCTTGGGAACGAGGAGAGAGTGCCTGGAAGAGACGATGATAAGATCTAGACAGAGTTTCTAGAACCAAGAACAAAGTTTCTCATACCCATAGCACAGTGGATTTATGTCGAGAATGCACACGCAAAAGTCGTCCTCGTAGAGCTGCCAAAGAGAAAGAAAGAAATAAAAATCTACGAAGAACATCCATGAGAGATCACAGTACCTTGAATGCCGGGGAATAGCCGTGGACGATCTTGCAAAATATGCAATCGTCGGCCACCGGCCAATCGCGCTGCTGCTGCTGCCGAGGTGATCCCCAGCTTCTAGACGCGATGGAGCTTGCGATAGATTTCGCCAGCCCGGAGTCTCCGAAATTTGCCTTCTCCGGCCACTCGGCGGCGGCGGCGCTGGGAGAATTCTGGCGATCTTCCAAGGGATTGGGAGGAGAAGGAGGAAGGGCTTGGTGCGCCATTCTGGGGAAAGTCTCACCTAAGCCCCCATCGCTGCTGGCTCGCCATTGACCCGCATTTAGGGAAGAGGCGGTGGCGTCGAAGGATTCGCCAGCGATTCCCTCGCTTTCACTGTTGCTACACGCATTATCGCCGTCGCCGCCCTGGCAGCTCGTCCTCCTCCATCGCCCGGCATGCGAGAGGATGCGCCGCACTCGCTCCTCCGCCATGGCTGCTAAATGCGTCTCCAATTCTATCTAGTGCTCAATGGTTTCGTTTATATATTTTGAGGTTTCCATTTTAAACTGTGTTATGACCCCAGGGTTTGGTTTGAAGTAAGCTTCTCTTTCTGGCAGCCTGGCAGCCTGGCAAATATTTCCTCTCTTCCTCCCGAGCGTTTGAGAATCGCTTCTGCGCCTCAATCGTGCTTGATTTCCCTTCCTCAATTTTCCGTGCTCTTCTTTGTTTATTTCTTGGACCCTCACTGATTTGTGATTATGCAAGATTTCCCTTCTTTGCCCTCTCCTCCATCTTTGGTCTTTCATCTTAAATTCAATTGTATTGTTAATATTTCATATTGGAATCAACTACTACATGAAATAATTATTATAATATATTTTTTAAAAATATATAGGAATAGATATATCAATTGGGGTTTAGACCATACTTATATACAAGAATACTAGGTTTAATCCCAAATGGATGGTCTATATACTATAGTGTTATAATTAGTGTATTATTTAGCCAGGATATATATATATATATATATATATATATATATAAATAATTTACAAACTTTACACCATCCTCCTCTTCGGAAAATGAAAAGATGATAATAATAAATCATATGGAACATTTAAAACTTCTACTGGGTGATTATAAATTTGTAATCCACAAATTTTTCCTTTTCAATTTGCCAGCTTACCTCGTTTATCCGACCAACACTGCCTTGGCTTGTGCTAAGTTCCCTCGCAAGGGTTCTCGCCTATGGTACTAACTTCTACTTAGTTCTACTTGGTTTCAACTACTCACTACACGAGCAACGAAGTATTAGCCATCCATCTATGGATTCCCAAATCTCTCTCAATCCCCCTTCCCGGGTTAGACTGGACTTAAGGTTCGGCTACACTCCCCGCAAGCACAAGCAGCCAAGCACATCAAGCCTCCAGGTTTTTAACACCCCTTGGTACAACAAGACTTGATCATGGGACCCTCTAAATCCCAAGCCTTGGGTGTAGCACTTGCTTCGGGACGTCGGGGCAAAACACCGTGGCCTAACGCCCCGGTATGGGTACCTCTACCCCCCGACTTCCATCCCAAAGGGAAGGCCCAAGCCCCTAGGAAGGGCGAGGACCAATGAGCCACAAGGTACTCAAGTGGGGCACCACTCCACATGAGTCGGGAGCACCGCAGTCGGTTTCCCTTTCGAGAGTGGGAGTTGCTCTTGAGCACTTCCCTGGGTGGCCCCTCCGGCACCACCCAAGCCCATGCTCACTCCCACCCAAGGCCTCTCGACCCCAATCTCAACCTCAAGTCAATTTGGAAGCACCACTGGAGAGTTCCTTCAAGACTAGTTCCTGGATCTCACTATCCCTACTATACTTTTGGAACCCCCTGCAGCCCCTGCCCCCCCCCCCCCTGGGAGACGCACGCTTTGGGCTTTCACCCCTTGACCCGTATTAGTATTTGGACTTAGTCTATGGCTCGATCTCGGACCCGATTTTGGATCCGACTTCGGATTCGGTCTCGGACTCGATCTCGGACCCGATCTCAGACCCGATCTGGACCCGACCTGGAAGGCCCCCCCCCCCCCCCCCCCCCAGGAGACGCACACTTTGGGCTGATCTGTATTAGTATTTGGACTTAGTCTCAGAATCGATCTCGGACCTGACTTCAGACTCGGTCTCGAACTCGGTCTCGGACTCGATTTCGGACTCGGACTTGATTTCGGACTCGATCTTGGACCCGATCTCGGACTCGACTTCGGAGCCGATTTGGATCTCGGACTCCGTCTTGAACTCGGTCTCGAACTTGATCCCAGACTCTATCTCGGACTTGATCTTAGAGTCGGTCTTGGACTCAATCTTCGACTTAGTCCCATCCGATGAACTCTTTGTCATTTCGGTCATGCTTTCGGGGATCCTTTAGCCTACGACACCTTGGGGAGTCGGTTCCTTACAACTCCACCACCCATAGAAGAAGTTCGATGCCCATATCGAACGTCTCTTTTTATCCTACGACTTGTTGACCATGTCTCCGGGGGCATCCCCCCACTTAGCGGTGTGCCTACTAGTGAAGATCTTATCTCGATCTGAGATGATCTCTTCCGGCCTTCCCCGCACTCGAACAACTTGTTCGAAGAACAGCTTCGCCACACCTTCCGCATCCACGTCCGTTGTGGTGGGTATGAAATGTGCCATCTTTGAAAATTGGTCCACCACTACGAATATCGCATCAAACCCCTCGCTTGGGGGGAGTCCCGTGATGAAGTCCATCGTAAGACATTTCCATGGACAATCGGGAATTGGGATGCTTTGCAACAAGCCCCCACTAGCCTTAGTCACAGCTTTGACCTGCTGACATGTTGGACATGTCTTTACATAGTCTTGGACATCCTTAGCCATATCTGGCCAATGGTACTTCCTCTTGAGTAAGCCCATCGTCTTGGGCACTCCACCATGTCCCGCAAGAGGTCCGTCATGACACTTTTCTAAGGCTACCTTCCTTAGTTCCCCTTTTGGAACATACACCCTTGTTTGCTTGTAATAGATGAAACCGTTGCGTTCCGCATAGCCCGTTTTCTCTTCCATTGGTAGCTCACATTTCTGGTGAGCTTCCTATGCCTCTAGATTCCTCAGCAACACTTCTTGTACTAGACCATCATTTTCATATGCTGTCCGCACATCGTCCCAAAAGGTTGTTGTCGCACTGGATATCGCCAACTTCAAGCTCGCTTTTCAACTCAACATATCTGCCACAATGTTGCTCTTCCTAGGCTTGTACAAAATCTCGCAATCAAACTCAGCCAAGGCATTGGCCCACCGACCTTGTTTCCCTCTCCAGTTGGGCTGTGACAAGAAGTGTTTCGTTGCCACATTGTCCGTGTAAACCTTGAAGTGTCTCCCAAGGTAGTGTCGCCACTCCTTGAGTGCCTTGACCACCACAAACAATTCCTTCTCGTAGGCAGGCCACTTCTGTTGAGCCTTGTCCAACTTCTTCGAGAAGAACGCTACTGGGTGGTTGTCTTGCTTCAAAATTGCGCCCAACGCAAAGTCCGAAGCGTCCGTTTCTACCTCAAAGTCCTTACCAAAGTCTGGTAATGCCAACACGGGAGCCTTCCTCAGCTTCCCTTTGAGGTGGACGAATGCCGCCTCGCATTCCGCTGTCCCTACCATCTTCCCTTTTCCTGTTTGATCCGTTAAGGGCAGAGCTACTCTCGAATAGTGTCTGATAAACTTTCGGTAGTAGTTGCATAGCCCCAAGAATGCCCTCAACTCATGTACATTCGATGGTCGCTCCCATTCCTGGATCGCGTGGACCTTCTCCGAGTCCACCTTGAGCCCATCCTGGCCCACCACATGCCCAAGAAACTTTACCTCTTGTTGAGCAAAGTCACATTTGCTCTGTTTAGCATACAGTTTGTGTTCCCTTAGTTTCTCAAACACCTTCGCCAAGTGTTCGGCATGCTCCTCTAGCGTCTCGCTATAGATCAGGATGTCGTTGATATAGACGACCACGAAGTGATCCAGATAGGGTACAAAGATATGGTTCATCAACGCCAAAAAAGTTGCCGACGCATTGCATAGCCCAAAGGGCATCACCAGAAACTCAAAGCTCCCATACCTAGTTCGACAGGTTGTCTTTTCGACATCTTCCTCTGCTACCCTGATCTGGTAGTATCCTGACCTCAGGTCAATCCTCGAGAAGTATTTTGCCTTTCCCAACCTATCGAACAGGTCCTCAATCCTGGGCAAAGGGTACTTGTTCTTCTTTGTATACTTGTTGAGCAACCGGTAGTCTATGCACATATGCATAGATCTATCTTTCTTTTTCACAAATAACACCGGCGCCCCATATGGCAACTTGCTCAACCTAACATACCCTTTGTCCACCAACTCCTCTAGTTGGCGCTTGAGCTCCTCGAATTCTTTCTCGTTCAAACAATAGGGGGGATGAACCACCGCCTCAGTACCCTCGACCAGCTCAATCTTATGTTCTATAGGTCGTGCGGGAGGCAACCCCACCGGTAACTCCTCCGGCATGGTATCCTAGAATTGGTCCAACACCCGTTAGATCACTAAAGGTACTTCTTCTGTTCCTGTCTTTTTGTCACTCTTCACCGAGAGTAAGCACAAAAATGCTGCCTTAGTTCCTTTAGTGAGTTGTCCTCTGGTGGACACCAGGTTTAAGTAGGATTCTTTGGCCTTGCTTTGCCCTACCTTTAAATCCTGGGCCTCCACCCTAGATCTTCTTCCTTGGACACTCGCTAGTACCACAAGGTTTCTACCTTGTCCATGCAGGGCTACCACAAACCGATTGAACCAGTCCATTCCGAAGATCACGTCAAATCCCGCCATGTCAAACACGGTGAAATCCATGTCCACTTTCCATGTCCCTACTTCGACTCTCGCTTGTCGAAGTACCTCATCGGTGCTTTGGCTACCTTGAACAAACTCTATAGTTCTTGGTTCGCCTAGTTGCTACACCATTAGTCCGGCTTGCCGGACTATGTCTACAGCCACAAAATTATCTGAAGCACCCGTGTCAATAAGGATCTTAAGAAAGCTACCTCCAAGCTTCCCTCGGAGGGCTAGTAGATGTCGCGAACGACTCTCTACCAAAGTTGCTCGTGTAATGAGTAACTTTGAGTTAGGGACTGGATCACATACCTTAGTTTAGACTTCACCCGATTTGATGGCCATATTGGCTCTGGCCTTCTTTGGGTAGGGACATTCCTTCGAAAAGTGTCCCGATTCACCGCAGTTGTAACATACGTTGTTTCCCACGCTGTTATATGGCTTGACCTTCTTATTCATGTGTTTGTCTCTTTTTGCTTGACTCCCCCACGTACTCACTCGCTGGCCACCAGATTTGCCTTTCCGGAACCCCAAGGACTCATTCTTAGAGAAACTCTTCTTGAATTTCCCTCTGCTAAACATTCCCCTTGGTTTGGCCCCTTTGCTAAACGTGGATCCCGACCCTATCGTGTTCCCCTTTCACAGGTTATCGTTGAAATGCACCTTGATGGCTACATCCAACGCTTCCTTGTAGTTGGTCGGGTTCCA